CTGCCCTCCTCCTCCTCCTCCTCTTCTTTTTTTAACTTTTTTTGAGATAGGGTCTTGCTATGTAGTTCAGGCTGGCCTTGAACTCACCGCAATCCTCCTGCCTTGGCCTCCCGAGAGCTGGGACTACAGGCTTGCACCATCAGGCCTGCCTCTTTCCGTTTTTTTTTTTTAAAGCCAGTCATAGAGCTTGAAACCAGGGCCTTGACATCAAGCTACATCCCCAACCCTTTTTATTTTTTATTTTGAGATGGGGTCTCACTATGTTGCTAAACTGCCCAGGCTGAGTCCGAACTTGCAATCCTCACACCTGTAGTTTTTCCTGCCACAGATTGCAAAACATTATCTCTCTCTTTGCTTATGTGCAGAGGTACAGGCTGACATCTCTATGTCATGTTTTAGAAGCAGACACATACAGGATAATGGCCAGGACTGGGTCCTTACATAGTTCTATGGCATTTTTTGCTGACTGCATGGGTGAAACTTCCTTTCCAGGTGAAGCATTACTTTGAGGAAGGAATCAAGTCACTGTCAGAGTCAAGCACAAAATTAGAACTAGGAGCAAGAGTGGAGGCTGAAGCTGAGCATGGTGGCACATGCCTATAACCCCAGCACTGGGATGCTGAAGCAGGAGGATCCCAAGTTGGAGCTGAACCTAGGCAATTTAGCAAATTAGCCATACCATCTCAAAATAAAAAGTGAAAAAAGGCTGAGGATGTAGCTCAGTAGAAGAGACCCCGAGTTCAATCAGACGAATTCCTCCTACCCTGCAAAATAGGGTGGAGGTTGAGTTTCTTGGCACGAAGGTCCATGCCTGTCACCCCAGGGGAGTAAGGGAACAGATGAGAATTACCTGGGAGGAAGAGCAGCTGAGGGAAGGAGTGAATGGAGGAAGTGGGCATCCCTATTTTCTTGGCCTGGGGTAAGTTGCTGTACTTCTTCCTCTGCTCAGTGGGAACCAATGGGAATGGCAGCAGGAACTTGTCATAGGGTTGTGTGAGAAGATATAAGGGACCACCAGGATGGCACTTGTCACAGAGCAATGTCCCAATAAGACAACTGTCCATGAAGGTGGCTCCTGCTGTGCCCTGCCTACATAACCTTCTGCAAGGTGCGGGTTGGGCCTGAACGCTGAGAGTTCCCAGGCCACAAGATTTAAGGGGGGATTATGTGCCAAGCTAGGAGGCTGATGCAGAAATGTGGCATGACCCAAAGGGGCCAAGAGGCAAGGCAGGAAATATTAAGGTAAGGGTCTGGTAGCCCCTTTCCAAAGGAAATCCTCCCTCCTCCAAGCTACCATTTCCTCAATGGTGGCCTTGGCGCCCTGAGCGATTGTTGTGGTGGGCTGGCAGCTGCCCACTGAGGGACAGCCTTGACTGGGGCCTCTTTATTGACCAGTGTGGGCAGAGTCTGTGGCCTCGGGCCCAGTGGGGTCAAGAGGTCACCCAGGCCATGCAAGGCAGCACGTAGGGCCCAGCCCCCTCCATCTCTGGCTTCCCAGATCTGACGCCCTGCTGCCAGGATGGGGAGAGTCTGGGGAGTGGGGGCTTCTGGGAAACAGAAAAGCCAAGAGCCATGTTGGTGGATTCAGCTCTTACCAGTGAGGTTTTAAAAACACAAAAAACTTGCACACACACTCCCATGAGAGCCAGGAGCCAGCCCCTGTCCCATCGTTCTAGCTCCTACCACCCCATTGCCCAGTGGGCCCTGTGGCCGTGGGAGTCCCCATGAGACCTGGAGAATTCATATTTGCCATCTAAATTCTCCAGTCCATCCTGTCCTTGTTTGGTGCATGCAGAAGCATCGCCTCCAGAGCTTGTGCTGGTGTCATAGTTCTGCAGGGCACCGAGTGAGTCTGGGGTTCTCCCCATGCAGCTCTGCCCGAGTTTCAAGCTAGTCTCTGTATTCCTGCTGATCTGGGTCTCAGGCTGGTTCTGCGACATCCTTAGATGTCAGAGCTGAGCTCTGGACAGTTTCTCTGGCCCCCACGATGTCACTGCTGGCACTGGAGTGTCCGTGTGATAGGCTGGCGCTAGGGAGACAGCCCCTGGGGGTTTGGGAGTGATGGAGGGGAGGCGTGGCACAGGCAGGAGTGGTGGTGGCAGTGGTGGCAGTGGTGGTGGACGAGCCTGTGGGAGGCACCTGGTCACCTGTCCCCTCTCCTGCAGGCCTCCCCTGTGTACAGCTTCAGTTTCCCCCGGAGGAAATTGGAGTAGACCCGGAAGAGTTTGCACAGAGCATCCACAGTGAATGTTCGGAGTGGAGCAGGGGAGGCTGCATCTGGAGGCAAGATGGGTTCTTTCTGCCAGGGGAGAATAGGAGGTTACCATGGTGCTGGGGACCCAGATGGAAATAGGATCAGGGACAGAATGGGGGTGGTGGTGGCAGGGAGAGCACCAGTATTCCTCAGCAGGATCTTTTTCCCATTTTTTTTTTTTCTTTTCTTTTTGTAGTACTGGGAATTGAACCCTGGGCTTTACACTGAACTGCATGCCCACCCTTTTTATTTTTTGAGACAAGGTCTTGCTAAATTGCTAAGGTGCCCAAGCTGGGCTTCAATTTACAGTCCTCCTGCCTCAGCCTCCCAGATTGCTGAGATTACAGGCATGGTACCACCACACCCAGCCCTTTTCCTCTATCTTACTGAAAGGGCAAGTGGAAATGCCCATGTCCCTCCTGCTCACCTGAGCCCCCAGGGTGCGGAGTAGGGAGGTGAGGCTGCGCAGGCCGCTGACAGCTTTGTCCATGTGCAGCCTCAGGGTCTCTGATGGCTGGGAGGAGTTGGCCAGCAGGGCCTGGCCCCGCAGGATGGCTTCTGATAGCAGCACCAGACCTTGCCACACCTCTGCGGCTTGCTGCCCCACCTAGAGGAGCAGAGACTTGGAGTCAGCTGTCCCATGTCACCTCCTCCCTCCTCCCTGTTGGCTTGCAGCAAACTGAGCAAACAGGTTTGCAATAACATTCTGAGTGAATGAATGAATGAATGAATGAATGAATAGCATCTTTGCACTCAGTTTCTTCTTTCATTCCCTTCTACCCCAGCAGGAACACACACACACACACACACACACACACACACACACACACACACACACCCAAGAGGAAGGGAAAGCTGTGCTCACCTCCATCCTCTGCCAGGCATAGAAGTTCACTTTAGTGTCTGGGACGGTGATGTTCTCACCCAGGCTGCAGTGTTCCATGCAACCCATCTGAAAAACACAGTAGGGGAGTCAGCACCCCCAGCGGCTGTGGCTTTTGGCCCTTGACTCAGTGCCCTCTGGCTTTGCCCCCTGTCTAGCTTCCAGGCACGCTTTTGAGGACACCAGATTTATCTTTGGGGAGGGGGGGTCTGGCTTCCACCTCCACCTTGAACCAAGCACCAGGTTCCTGGACCTGGGAGGAGACCCCAGGAACCCCGAGAGTCAGTCCCGTGGAGTGTGCTGGGGAGGTGACCTCACCGTGACATTCTCAGCGTCCTTGGCCTCCAGGATGTACCTCTCCAGGACTCTGCTGTCACAGATGAGGCTCTGGGGGACGTCCAGGGGGGTTGGGAGGCCCAGAGGAAGCAGCAGCAATGACAGCAGGAGCCAGGTAAGACCTTCTAGAAGAGAGGCAGGCTGAGAGTGAGGCCGGGTTCTGACCCCAGCCAGTCCTCGCCGGCCCCGGCCCTGCGAGCGCACAGCCTTCATTCAATTCCGCCGCGCGCGCACACCCCACCCCCAGCGCCCGGCATCTACTTCTCCGGCCAAACTTCAATCCCAGCGCGCGCCAGAGCGGATCCCGCCTGCTGCTCCAGGATCCAGGTATCCGC